CTCTCTGCCTACGGTTTACCGGGCAGTTCTATTTGACGATATATATATATTGTCACAGAGTTATCAGAGCGCAAAATCGAAAAAAACAAAAAAGATATCAATTCATTTTTTATCTTCTTACTGACAACTCCCCCTGTTCAGAACCTCTTGCGTACAAGGCGGCCGACGTGGATGTGGTTGAGCGGCGGCTGCCCCCACCCCCGTGTGTCATATCGACCCAATTGCACACAGCCAAAAGGCAAAGAGGCAAAGAAAAGGGTAAGGGAACAGCCAAATAGAACAAAACAGGGGGCAGCAAGATCCTGGATGACAAGCCCCACATATAAGCACCGTCCCGAACTTCAGAAAAGAAAACTAATAAAAAAAAAGGGAAAAAACTAAAAGAGACTTTATATTAGTTAGTGAGCGAGCACGTTTTAGACACCGCCATCTTTGGCGATTTTTCTTTTTTTTTTTGGCACATCCAAATGCCCTGAAAATTTACTGATGTGTACTTCACATAATCCAAAACTCATTAAAAAAGTTCCTCAAGTTGTCGGAGAATGCTTCTCTACACCTCCGGTCGAAAGTCGTTGAATTCCCAGCCTGCTAGTCCGATGCTGTCAACAGTCCGGAATGGACTAATGCTTATCGTACCCTCAGGTGCATTCGTCTTTTTCCCATCTTGCATTCAGAAGTGCGTCCCCTCTTTGTCTCTTTCTACTTCCTATCAGACGGTGGGCGCGGCGACATAATCTTTCCACGTCGCCATCTGCCCTGACAATGGCTGCCGCTCTCTCGTTGCCCCCGCGCTGTGAACAAACCTGCGCAAACTCCCCAACTGCACTTCCCCGTCCTCTATCGCCCTCATGCACCGGCCTTCTCTAAAACTTCAGCCCTTCCTTCCCCTGCTCGCAGCGGGCCACCAACTCCTGCCTGCGGCCAATGCCGCTTAAGGGTTACGATTAATTTATGAGAAAACTACGGCGCAGTCAGGGATCGAGTTTGTAATTGCACTCGAGGCAAAAGGGCCCGTAATGCTGAATGTATATGAGCTACGATTCGGGTCCGGTGGGGTCGCGTGGGGGTGTGTTGTACTCGCGGGATTGCCTGAAGTGCAATTACAAACTGTTTTCATGACTGCGCCGAAGTTACCCCTTAATTTATTTTAAAAGCCGATATTAATCAGGACATAATAAAATCCTCGGAAGGATGTTACCACAAGTTGGAAAATAATATGCATCTGATATCACCTCAAGGGCGATTTCTTAACTCTTTGATTTTTTTTTATTTTATTTTTTTTGAAACTCTTTGATTTGTGAGATGATCTCTGGCCGTCGCAATTACTTCAAGCCCAATGCTACAGAATGTGGAGTTGGTGACAAGTTGACAAGTACTACAAGCCCAATGCTACAGTGCCATAACACTTTTACACGTCCACGACAGCGAATGGCAAGACGTCCAGTGCATACCCGGTCTGGCTCTAAGATACCTTTCGCTGAATCTAATGAATGTTCCACACATCGAAAAATTAGCAGTTTCAGGTCTTGCCCCGCACAGTGACTTTCACCTGCCAGCACGTCAAAGATTTGAACACCTTCCAGCCTGCTGGCTGTGCGCAAGGCAGACTCCATGTAACAGTTAATAAGCAGATGACGAGCTAGAATTGTACCCAGTAGTACAATGCTAGTGGCTATCACTCGCTAAGACACAAATTAATTCATACATATATTTTTTAAAAAGTATTAAATTTTACAGTTCTCATCCTTTCCCTCACTCTGGGAGCGCTGCACAATAAGTCATCCTTCGTGATGCTCTTGTGACACAGGATCATCGTCCTTGCCGATGGTATCCTCTGCCTCTGACATCGCCAGAACGTACTCCATGTCCATTGTTCTGATCAAGAAGTCCCATCCTACATCGAGAAGCATGCTGTGGAAGCGCTGCACAATAGCTCTCATTGACGGCCTTGACCCATAGTCCTCATGGACACATTCCCACGCCAGTCTGAAATTGTTCATCACCATCTGCCTCGTAGAGTCTCCCGCCATCTGATTCCACAAACTGAGGTCAAGAATACCACGTGGCCTGTCCAGGCTTGGGTCTTGGGCTGTTTCACTGTCGCCCCGAAGGAAAGGCTTCACCCAGTCCACCAGTGTCTGCCATCCCACCCCAGAAGGCGCCCGCGTGACCACCTTCCTTCCCGTCAGCAGCTCCAGTACAAGAACCCCAAAGGAGTACACATCATTCTTCTCGGACAGCTCGCCTCTCAGCATGTACTCCGGCGACTTGTACCCGAAGGTGCCACCACTGTGCGATGTGATCACAACGTGGTCGTGCCCTGTGTCCAGCACCCTCTCCCCTATGGCCGCCAGTCCGAAGTCAGCCAGGACTACGTAAAGTCTGTCCCCACAGCCATCGCCAAGCAGGACGTTGCTGCTCTTGATGTCCCGATGAATGATGGGGGGCTTGGCATCATCGTGTAGGTACTGGAGCCCCCTGGCAATCTGGAAGGCAATGCTGATGCGCTCCTGGAGAGTGAGCGGCGGAGGAGAATCCTCTGCGTGTTCCCTCTGGTTAGCAGTGTGAGGGAAAAGCCGTTCCTGCAAGCATCCGCCTCTGAAGTACGGATACACCAAGATGCACTGGTTGCCCTCCTGGCAGTAACCAGTGAGCTGAATGAGATTGACGTGATTAACTGCACTGAGAGTGTTCACCTCCGCCACGAACTGGTTCCGTTTCACGTCCGTCAGCTCACCGGTCATCAGCTTGATTGCCACGTCCTTGCCGTCGAGCGAGCCCCTGTATACTTTCCCGAACGCCCCTTTGTCCCCGATGCGATAGGTTTCGCTAAAATTCTCCGTGCAATCCGACAGCAGTTTCCAACCAAACTGCTTGACGCGCGAGGGTCTAAGTCCCCAGAAATCCATAGCAGTACAGTCCCGTACAGATGAAGTCGTCGGCTGGGCGAGAACGGTAGGGTTAATACTGACCGGTTCCGAAGTTCGACGTCGACGCTTTACAAAACCGCGAACGCGAAACCCGATGCAGGTTACTATTGCTATAAATATAAATATCAGAGGAGCAAATAAAACTAAATATACAGTGTATGCTAGATATAACCACAGGGTGGGTACAATAACTACTATGAAATAGATCACGCCTGCGAGTCCTGACGATGGCAGATTAACGGGAAAAAAAGACAGTGCGAGTTCATATCCCAGCATGGAATTGATGTCGCTGTCTCCTCCCATGTACGGTTCGTTTCCACAACGGCTCAGTTCTGACCCGTTCAGGGGAATGCGATACACGCTGCCATCGCTGGTTCCAACGTAGAGGCTTACGCCGTCGCTGTCGTTACCGAGTGCCAATGACGTAACATCTGCTTCTCCGAAATAATGTGGGAGTGCCCGCTTTTCATGATGACTACTGCAGGGGCGCCAGAGTTTGAAGACAGCAACTGTGTTGTTTGCGGTCGTGAACACGTGACATCCGTGAGGCGTTGCAACCACGTCCATCTCTTTCCCCAGGAAAGCAACGTAAGGGTATGCAATTGTAGAGTGGACGAAATGTCCATCCCCAAAGCCCCTCCCGAACAACCCGTCATTAGAAGTCACGGAGTAAAGGCAACTGCCGTCAGAAACAAGGCTTCCTGATTGGAACTCCTCGTCAGGATAGATAACCTTTTGGATGCCCGAACGGGATACCGGGTTCAGAGGGCCGTTTGGAAGGCCGACATCGTTCACGGTGACGTTAATTAATACGGAATCAAGTTGCAAAGAGTAAAGAAAACCCTTGTTAGACTCTAACGCCCAAGCCTGGACCAATGTGCGCAAAGGGTCGGAGGACGAACGCCTGCCGTCAGCGAGCGACAAAGAATTGAACCTGGAGCGATTTTGGTCACCAGATATGGTTCCACTGTCCCATATTACTTTTGGGTCCCCATTGGTTACGCTCAAGACGAGATGCATTCTATCTTTCGACAGACCCATTCCTGTCACGTGAGCATCTCCGAAATCCGCTGGTTCGCGGATTATTATCCCGTTCGGCTGCCCGAATGGCCACATGTAACTTATCAAGGAGTCGTCCTCGTCCTGCGGGCTCGAACCGTCACCGTCCTGCACCTGCGATAAGTTCAGTCTCCTAATCGACAACGCCCGATCCTCGAGAGTACCATCCACTTGGCAGGACTGGTGCAGGATATAATACAATTCACCCGAACCAACCACCAGGTCCGTAATTACTGACCGGCAACCTTTCCCCGCCGTCTCATTCGCCGACGGGGTATGCAACGCCACGCGCGTGACGGAACCGTTTACAAACGGCGAATACTCTATCTGCTGCTCTTTCTGCGGTGCCGCTGGAGCGGCACTCTTCAACTCCTGAAGAAGGTGATCGTTGCAGGCGTCTTCGTGTCTATTTCTTTGCCCGGGCGCAATTGGTCACAGTCTATTTGATGGCAATAGCAGCAGCCACTATGGTGTGTGGCAAGACTCCTAACGCCGTTTCTATGAGCTGATCCCCGGCACGCTGTGAATACGAGGACCAGATAACAGCCACACACCATAGTGGCTGCTGCTATTGCCATCAAATAGACTGTGACCATAAAGCGATATAAAGGTCCGTAACAGGACAGGAGAGCTTCATATCCGTAACAGGACAGGAGAGCTCACCCACGCTTAGGATTCACGTGAGAAACCCTCCGCCCCAAGCAAAACAGTTCCTAAACTGCCCAACTGATGTCGCCTTCCCTTACTGAACTACAACTCCCTACTCTTGATGCGCAAGTCACCACAGTTAGTGGATACTTACCTGAATTGGATTGCCTGGACTGAATCCATCCCTGAAGAAGGACAAATGCAGCCGGCACAGACCCAGTGGGAGTGTTTGCTGTCGCTGAGCTAGCACTCTAACGCTGACTGGCTGTGATGTAGATGGAGGTTCTGCCAATCTCTTCCATTCTGCGAGCCGTCGGCAGCCACGCGGCGACACGAGGCACGGTCACCTGCGGGCATTGAGCGGCTCAATCGAACACCAAGTACGATCCAAAACTGAACTAAACAAAAAAAGAGCGGGTGAATTCATCCTTCGAGCTCATCCGCGCTCAGCCGCTATTCCTATCCTTTGCTTCCCCGCGGTCGCTGCCACCATGATGGTGTTCCCGAGGGTTTCGAGCGATCGCGAACGTCGTCACGTGAACTTAGCAAAGTTCACGAATCAGCGGTACATGGCAGGTTTGCTCACCGGAAACCGACATCACGTCGTGACAAAAAAAAAGGAGAAAACCCCTCTTTGCTATCGAAAAATCAAAGACTGGATGTCGACGGCTCACGCAAACGCAGTTGCGTCCTTGCGGAAAAAATGATAATCAATTTCAGAGAGTGAGGAGATGGGACAGGTGGCGACGCGAGAAGCGCTGGACTTGTACAGTCAAAAGAGGCGGCATCACTATGGCGGGCCGTCTCTGACTGTGCCCTGCAACATGTCCGTGATGATGCGTCGGGGGACAGTGTGACAAGTAAGGATCTTCTGAGAGCGAGCGAGCGAGCAAGCGCGCGCGCGCGCGCGCGCGAGAGAGAGAGAGAGAGAGAGAGAGAGAGAGAGAGAGAGAGAGAGAGAGAGAGAGAGAGAGAG